AAAAAAAAAGGTTTATCCCCAGTATCCATATGGGCACACAAACCTGCATGCATATTCCTGTTTCCAAAGAGTTCAGGAGCTGAGGTTTATTGACTTCTTTTTAGCGCTTGGGTATAAAACCAGATCAGGAGTATTCCAAAACTGTGCATTATTCTAACTATGGAAGGAAATGAGTTGCAGACTATATTTTGCCCAATCACTCAATTAATACGCACACACACAGTCTGCTTTTGGCTTCCAGTGAATGTAAAGGCATTGGGATGATTGACAAGGGCTTGGGCTTTTGTACTTTTAAATGTTCATTGCAGTTTATTAGCATTCTTTAGTTTAATATTGCATTCTGTATTTGCTTAGGTTTCTTGTTGTTCTCCATTGATTTACTGTCTCCTCCCCTCTTCTCTTTCCTACCCATTTCAGAATTTCTGGCGATAGGCTGCCGTACTCCCCCCCCTCTCCTTTTTGTCTTTTTTGTGCCTTCAGTCCAAACTGTCAGATTAAACAGATGAATGAGGTGATCTCATAGGGAGAAGGTCTGTAAATTTAGAAAGGAACATACAGTCCAAGAGAGGAGAATATTATAACGGATTCTATCAGAATCTTTCTGACGAAGATTAAAAGTTGAAGCAGGGGGGATACATTGCCAGAGCAAAGTCCCACTCTGCTGAAATGCTCTGTGATGTGTGGTCCTTGTGCGTGTCCGCATGTTTTGTTCATCTCTTCACAACTCTGGCATTCCGGTGTTTGTAAACGGGCATTTGCTTTTCCATTGTTTGATTTAAGTGACTCCAGAGTCTGCTTGCAACATTGCGGCTAATATTTCACGGTGTTAACATTGACGGAACAAACCCAAAATGTCTATAAAGTTATGTGTGTGTGTGCGTGTTTGGTGGGAAGAGATCGACTTTACTGGCCAAAGAGTTGCCCCTTGTCTCCTGACGTTTCAATTTATTTTAAAGGATTTATGGGTACTTTTTATGTAAGCTTGGGTTTGGGTATCCATTGATCTTTCTTTTATGCCTGCTTGCTGTGCTTTGAGTGCTGTGGAAATGTGAACATGTTTATTATTTAGAAAACAATAAAAGGGAAGGCTTAATTTTGAGGGGGCTGAGGAAGAGCAAGATGCCACGTGATTTATTTGGAGGTGGGGGGGGATGAGAAGGAATTGTTGCTGAATGAGGGATGCGAGGATGGGAGGCTGACTCACAGTGATTGATTTGCTATTTTATTGTTTGACCAGCTAATAAAAATAAATGTGATTTCACAGTCACTAGGATTTTTAACGGCAGTTGCTGTAGAACGTGCCGTAACATTAGACGTGGTTGATTCCGATGCAGCCTCAAACCAGGGTTTAACAAACACCGGTGCCAACCTTTGTACTGTTTTAATATATGGGCTCTGTTATCCACATGTGGTAGTAATGTTCTGGGGCAAAATAAAATGAAAAAAACCCGGTATGACTCTTGTAAAGTAATAGTGATGTTCTGAAGTCGCTTGTTGTCTGGGGTTGATTCCTTTTTTTTGTCAGGTATGGGAGGTTGTGAAAAAGACCTGTAGGCTGCAGTCATACTGGAAGTTTACCGTGATTTAATTGCACCAGTTTTAGGTGTTGCGGGTCAGACCAGACAGCACACTCTGGTGTGGTTTCCCCGTGCACTCGTCTAGTGGTCAGGCATTCACATTTCCACAGCGCCTCAACCACGGAGTGTGCTGCCTGTTTGGTTTCTTTTAATGAAGGTGGGTGCATGCGCTCACGCACATATGCACATATAGACAGCAACTCCAAAAAACAACCAATGGCGGAAACGGAACTGCGGGTTCAGACTTCCCTTCCGGGTTCCTTTCGTGGCAGGAGAGTTCCGGTGTCCGGGAAAGCAGAGTGGAAGTGCTGGCATCTGTTAATGCCGGGCTTTTCCCGAGACCTGCTCACTCCGCTTCCAAAGCGGGGCAACACAGTGTGCATGGAAGGCAGATGTTGTCTGAATGTGCTCTTTAAATCTGCAAAGGTAATGCTACTATATCGCGGCAAACTGCTTGTGTGACCTTTTGAAAAAGCATGGAGTAGCAGTGGGGCTACTATTGGCAAAACACTGGCCACAGGAAATACTACCTGCGGTAGGTACCTGGCTGAGAAAATGTTGGTCTAATGTGGTTAAGGGTACGATCACAATGTATAAAAATCAGTGGGGAAAATTTCTCTCCACGTGTATTTAGCCAGAGCAGGCAACTGTTTATATTACAACAGAACAAAGTGAAGCTGGTAGAAAATATAAGATTAAGGCTTTTTATCATGCATGTAAATAAGAGATTTAAGGCCTGATTTTTCATCCCTAAAGCTGTGTGTTTACTTTTTTTCTTGATGTTGTGACTGTATAAAGTATGTTACACTGTTTTTCTAGTAGAAAAACAAAACAATCCCCCCCATATGCAGCGTTGCACATGTGCAAGACTTGTTGATGCACTCTTCAGTCTCCTTCCCATGTTTTTACAACCCTGGTTTGAATGTAATGGCAAAGTGTGATTTGCATTGCGCTGGAAGTAACTAATTGAATGGCCTGTAAGAGGAGGATGAATGGGGCAAGTCCGAGGCCAGTTCAGGTGGGGCCAGTCCATGATTTTGGTGCAG